CTAAGGACAAGAGGCTGTCATTAGGACAGAATATGAAGAAACAGAGTAGTTTCCAATCGGCAAAGGGGTCAGGCATATTATCACCCTGTATATTCAATTTGTACACAGAAAATGTCACACACAACAGGATTAGACTTGGAAGCAAGAGAAGTGAAGATGGGGGTAAAGAACATTATCAAACAAATTATGCAGACAACACAATACTACTAGCAGAAATCAACAAGGACCTTGAGCAATTACTTAAGAAGGTCAAGGAGGAAAGTGTCAAGGTTAGATTAATGCTGAACATTAAAAAAAAAATGACCACATCATCAGAAGGCCTGATTCATTAGAAATGGCAATGATGCTGGGAAAGGTAGCTGGTAGTAGAAAGAGAGGAAGACCACACACCAGATGGGTAGACTCAATCGTCATGGGCCTGAGCCTGCAGGACCTGAGTAGAGCAGTGAGGAAGAGAGGATCTTAAGAGATGTTTTATCTACAGAGTCTCCATGAGTTGAGGTCGACTCAAGAGCACTTAACAACTATAGAGGGTGGATTCAGTGTGGAACTGGGCTTACTTTGTGAAGACAATCTGCAATCAGATTGGGGATTTGGCCCTGTGTCATAAAGAAAGGTCATCATGAGGATGGTTTGGGACCATTTTATTTGGCCCATGTAGATGAATCCTTAGTCTTCTTCTGATTTCTTGACTTCAGTCAACATTTTGACTGAAGACTGAGCCAAGGTATAAAAAAAATCTTCAACAATTGTAATGTTGTCATAATCCACTCTAGTTTTATTAATATTCATTTGTATGTCTGGTTTTGCATTTTCTTCCTTAACTTTCATCAGTAGTCTTTCCAAGCCTTTGCTATTTACTATTGCTATTTACCTTGCTATTAACATGGTATTATCTGTATACCTTAAATTATTGATGTTGCTCCCTCCAATATGAATGGCTCCATCCTTCAAGTCTAATTCCACTTTTTGTATGATACAGTCTGCATGTAAAGTAAACAAATAGGGTGATAAATTGTAGGTTATATGGCCTCCTTGCCGATTGCCATTCTGTTTCTCCACATTCTGTCCTGATAGTGGCTTCTTGTCTAGACTATAGGTTAGAAATCAGGACAATCAAATGTTGACAGACCCCCATTTCTTTTGCAGAGATCCATAGTTTCTCATAGGCTGTCCAGTCAAAGGCTTTCCTATAATCTATAGAGCACAGGCAGATTTCCTTCTGAATACTTTGGTGCTCTCCATTAGCCAATTTATTTTTGCAGGTCTTAGCATGACTGCCTTTTGGTGTTCAGGTTGTGCAAAATTTTATATAAGATGGGCAGGAAGAGAAATATAAATTACAGAGGTGGGAGGTAGGAAGAATTCAAGTGCTGAACTCTTCACATGACTTCTTTCTCTCAAAATCAATTTTCTGAAATATATTTCTCCCAGGAAGGTTAATTTGCATAATTCAGTTCTCAATTGCCCCCTCCACAAAACTGTCTTTGGAAGAAGCAATTCAGATAAGAATGCAAGTCCCAACTGCTTACATCTTTGTTATCCACACAACACATATTTTTATGTGAATTTAGCAACAAGTCTACTCTAGTTGGGACAAATCAACAGGATTCAGACCATAGCAGGCTGCTTCCAGATAGACACAAAAAAGAGGAGAGGGTTCTTGTACCAGAGCATTTTCAAAGAAATTGTTATTGGGTGTTTATTCTCCTATTCAAAAGGTTCATGAGTGCAGCTTCTCCACTACAATCATGACACTCAGACTCTGTTGAAAGCAATTTTTTTCTTTTTTTTAAAAAAAAAAGTCAAATAAATACAAAGCTGCAAAAACATTTAAGCACATCAATATCCTAGATATTTTTATTATCCTGCCCATCACCAGAAATTACCTGAATTAAAAAGAAGAAAACACCCTAGAACTCTTATCAAAGCTTAGAAAAATTGGCTAAAACACAGCTGATCCAGGATAGCAAAGGACATGTGTTTGGGGATTAGTTTTATTATACTTAGCATTATGACAAAATAAATAATTACGACAAAATCAAAATAGAGTTGACAGAGTCAACTCTAGTGCTAACCAACATATATGGAAAACAAAATGATGGCCAACAGATTGGAAGTGATCAATATACATCTCCATCCACAAAAAGAGAGACAGAAGAGATCACAGCTACTATAGAACCATAGCATTGATCTCCCATGCAAGCAAAATCATGCTCAAAATTCTGCAACATAGACTCCAACCATACATGGAGAGAGAAATCCCAGAGGTCCAAGTGGGGTTCTGGAAAGAAAGAGGCACTAGGGACCACATTGCAAACATACAATGGCTAATGGAGCACACCAGGGAATTCCAAAAGAAAATCAGCATCTAATTTGTAGACTATAGCAAAGCCTTTGACTGTACAAATTATGGATAGGCAACCTTTTTGAGCCAGGGGCTGGGTTGCTGTCCCTCAGACAATTGGGGGGCCAAAGCACCAAAAATAAATAAATAAATAAATAAATAACTGCACACTCTCTCCGCCCCAGAAAAGTCATGGCAAAACCCCTGTGGAGATTTTGCCAAGAAAACCCCAAGAACAAGTAATAACAACAATAATCAATATCATCATGGCGGGAGGTGGCGGCGAGCGATGGGCAGCGGTGGTGGCGGCGGTGGCGGCAGGACCGGCCTGGGGCCAGTCCAAAGGCCTCGGGGGGCTGCATCCGGCCCCCAGGCCTTAGGTTGCCTACCCCTGGCATAGATCATGAAAGGCTATGGAACACCCTTAAAGACACAGAAGTGCCAATACATCTGATAGTCCTGATGAGGAATGTGTAATCAGGACAAGAGGCTACTGTCACAACAGAACATGGAGAAACAGAATGGTTCCCAATTTGCAAAAGTGTCAGACAAGGCTGTATCCTTTCACCCTATCTGTTCAACTTGTACCAGAACATATTATAAGAAAAGCAGGCTTGGACACAGAAGAAGGAGGAGTGAAAATAGGAGGAAGGAATATCAACAATTTAAATATGCAAATGACACCATAGTAGTAGCAGAAAACCTCACGAGCTGGAACTCCTACTAAGAGAGATCATAGAAGAAAGTGCAAGGGCAGGCTTAATGTTGAACATGAAGAAAACAAATGCAAAGGCAGGCTTAATGTTGAACATAAAGAAAACAAAAATAATGACCACCGAGGATCTTCACAAGTTCAACGTAGTAAAAGAATTCTCATACTTGGGATCAAACATTGATAGAAATGGGGACTGCAATCAGGAAATCAGAATAAGACTAATAATGGGGAGGGTGACTATGAAAGTACTAGAAAAGATTTTAAAATGCAAAGATATGCAACTCAGAACAAAAGTTAGAATCATACAAGTTAGAATCATCAGGTATGGATGTGAGAGCTGGACAGTTATGAAAGATGATAGGAAGAAAATCAATGCATTTGAGATGTGGTGCTGGAGAAGAGTGCTGAGGATCCCATGGACAGCCAAAAGGACAAACAAGAGCAGAACAAGCTGGAAACCTCCCTGGAAGCCAAGATAACAAAACTGAGGCTGTCGTACTTTGGACACATCATGAGAAGAGAGGATTCTTTGGAAAAGACAATAATGCTGGGAAAGGTGGAGGGAAGTAGGAAGAGAGGAAGGCCACATGCCAGATGGATGGCCTCTATTAAGGAGGTCACGGGTATTCAGGGGTTGCAAGAATTAAGCAGAACAGTGGCAGACAGAGGGTCTTGGAGTTGTCTTATCCATAGGACCGACATGGGTCAAAATTGACTCAAGGGCAGTTAACAAAAAAAAAAACACAAAATGACAAAAAACTATGAGGGAAGTGGCAAACATTTGCAGGACAATACACCTGCTCACAGTGCCAACAAAACGATGGATATTTCAAAGAATTTGGGGTTTCTGTGCATAGACCATCTATTCTGCTCACCAGATCTTGTTCCACCTGATTATTTTCTGTTTGCAAACCTTAAAAAGAGTTTGAAAGGAAGGAAATTTTTGAATGATTCAGAGGAGATTGCAGCAGCAAAGCAGTATTTCAGAGACCAGGCATCAGAATTGTTTTTCTTTGAAAGGTTAAAGGAACTTGAGAAACAATGTGGCAAGTATGTTGAACTTCTGGGTGAATATGTGGAATGGCATATAAGTGCCGTGGCTCTATGTCATCCCCTTCTTGGTTGGACTGAGAACTTTTCAATATACCCTGGTAACTTGCAGAAATAGGAATGGGGATCACACCGCTCACTGATTAAGCTGGTGTCCCCAGTGTTTCCACTGGTGTCCAAAAGTCACTGGTATCCAAAAGTCCCATTTGGACACACAACTATTACTTAAAAATGCCTTGTCCTGTACCTTTAATAGCTGTGGAGATGAGAGTTTCAGCAGATGGAGCTTGTCAACTACTAATAAGCCATTGTTCTGCAGACATCAACTACAAGCAGAATATTTCATTCACCACACTATCGGGGAATACTTGGCCTTTATGGTCTCTACATCTGACTATATTCTGTGCACACACCCATGCCTTCACCTGTCTGTTCCATCTTTTTAAGGTGCATGGTTTTCTCTTAGCAGGATACTGAGTTTTTTGCAATGGGTGCCACTTTTAGCACTTACAAAGGGTGGATGCAGATGGGCGGCCCTGGGCCACCCTGGGAAGCAGAAGATCGGGGCCACTGCTAGCACACACAGCAGCCCCGATTCTCCCATTTGCCGCCTCTTAAAAGAGCGGCAAAATGCTGCTCCTATTAGAAGCGGCAAAAGGCCGCCACAAGAGCCGCCACACGGCTCTTCTCCAGCTCTTTCGCCCTTGTGCATGCAGACGCTACGTGCGGAAGACATCCTGACGCCATGTGCCATGCGTAAGGACACGTGATTTCAGGACGTCTTCGGGGAGGGGTTGAGGCAGCCAGCATGCGGCTGCCCCTTCCCTTCCCTGCCTCCGACTCGCCGCTTGGGCCTGTGTGCAGAGGCCCAAAGTTTAAAATAAGGGAGCCAGCATGGTGTAGTGTTTGAACTTTAGATTAAGACTCTGGAGATCAGGGTTCAATTCCCAGCTCAGCCATGTTAACCCACTGGGTGACCTTGGGAAAGTAACATTCTCTCAGCCTCAGAGGAAGGCAATGACAATCCCCCACTGAAGAAACTTGTCAAAAAAAAAAAAAACCCCCAATGACAGGTTTACCTTAGGGTCACCTTAAGTTGGAAATGACTTGAAGACACGCAACAACAATTTTTAAAATCTATCTTTTAAAATGATGTAGAATATATTTTGAATATATTTTAGAAATTAAACTATCAAGATGACACCTAAATGAAAGAATGCTATAGCACTACACCTATAATGCAAAAAGACAATATATATGAGAGGCAGGGAGACAGAACAATTACAGATAGACACATACACATTATAGTCAAGATGGTTATTAGCGAGGCAGAACATCAAAGCCATGAGAGGCTGCAGGAATTTCCTTTTTCCAGAGACTACTGGACAGGGCAAGATTCTGCCTGCTCCTCTCCTCTCCTCTCCTCTCCTCCCTGCTAAGTGACTAGCATGTAAACTACTTTTGCACTATGAACTCACTTTGCAGCAACTGAAGTAAACTCAGGATGGAGGAAAGTGGGAGGAAGAGAGAAAAATAAGGACATTTTAAAAGTACCGTAGCTGAAAAAGTGGGAAACAGTTTAACCGAGACTATCCCTGCCAAACTGGGATAGCTGGACGCTATGTAAAAATCAGTAACTCTATCCAATATAAGTAATATATGTTTAGGAACATGGAATGTAGGTAACATGACATAGTAAAACAAAAAATTGAAGTATAAACATTGCAATACTTGGGGAGAGTGAGCTAAAATGGATAGGAATGGGACATTTTGAGTCAGATTACTGCATAGTATTTTACTCAGGAAGTGAATATCTGAGACAAAATGGGGTGGTATTAATAATGAGGAGAGATGTAGCAAAGGATATAGTGTAAAGTCTGACTGAATAATATCAATAAGATGTCAGGGAAAACCCATTAATATACAGTTTATACTCCAACTACAAAGGAAAAAGAAGAAGAAAATGAAAGATTCTGTGCTGGCATGCAGGAGGAGATTGATCACACACAAAACTGGACTTCTTGTCAACCATAGGCAATTGGAATACAAAAGCAGGAAACAGACCAGAATCAAAGATTGTAGAAAAATCTGACCTAGGATCAAGAAATGAAGTAGAAGACTGACTGATTTAATTTGCAATAGTTTGCTCAAAAGGCCAATAGTTTGCTCATTTCAAACACATTATTCAAACAAACCAAGAAGTGACTGTACACATGGACATCATTTGATGACCAATACAGAAATCAAATAGACTACATAATTGGAAGCAGAAGATGGAGAAGATCCACTCTCTCTGCAGAAACAGAGAGCAGATTGTGGCACAGATCGTGAACTACTAAAACAAAAAAAAAAAATTAAAGTAATGCTAAAGATGAATATTAAACCAACCCTTGTGCCATAATACAACCTGAAAAACACCCCCATAAAACTTAATGTAAGAAATAGATTTGTACTATTAAGCCTAATTAACCTGAAGTCAGAAGAACTCTGGACTGAAGCCAGGGATATTCTCAGGGAAAAATACAAAAAGACACTATCTGTAGCCAAAAAGAAAAAGAAACCCCAATGAGTGACTGATGAAACACTTCAAGCAATTAAATACAGACAAGAAGCAAAAGTAAAAGGGGACATAAATAGGGACAGAACCCTGAATGCAACTTTTCAGTGATTTGTGCAAAGGAACAAAGAGAACTACTGTAAGAATCAATAAAGATAAATAGGAGACCTTTTCTATAAGATCCAAGAAATCAAATTTAAACCAAGACTGGGGATGCTATATGAACACATTGCATGACCAAGTACAAATAAAATGATGATGAAAACAATGCACTGAAGAACTATATAAAAAGATGAAAGGTTGACAGATTCATTCAAGGAAAAACCATTTGAAGATGAACCTCCAATTTTAGAAAGTGAAGTAGAAGCTGCACTAAGGGCACTTCAGAGAAATAAATCCCCTGGCATACAAAATAGTTGCTTCAAGCTACAGAAATAGAATCTACTTACTAAAATCTTTCAACAAATATGAAAAACAAAAGAATTGTCCACAGACTGGAAATGGTCTATTTACATTCCAATCCCCAAGAAAAGAGACATCAGGGATTGCAGGGATTGCACAGAAGCAAAGTGACCCTCAAAATTCTACACTAAAGACTTTTAACATATATGGAGCAAGACATGCCAGATGTCCAAGCTGGGATCATGAAAGGAAGTGGCACTAGGGGACATACTGCAAATTTTTGTTGGATAATGGAGCACACCAAAAAAATTCAGAAGAAATGTTAGAAGACTGCATTACAGATTGGTAGAATCACGGCCCTCAGTCTGGAAGACCTGAGCAGAGTGGTTGATCATAGAGTTGCTTGGAGGTATCTTATTCATAGGGACATCATGTCAAAGTCAACTTGACAGCAGTTAACAATATATGTTTCCTATCCTAACCATTTAACTAATTTCTCCATAGAGAAGAGATGCTCAGGCTTGATATCTTTTGCCTAGTTAAAGAGAAGCCACATGTGTTACACGATTCACATTATGTGACTTGGGCCAAATGCTAAGTAACAGACTTCCAGAATGGGACACATGAGCAGCTATTGCTACAGGCCTGATGAGGTGATGAGAGGGCTGAAAAATGGGCTTTTTACTTCACAAGAATCTTTTGTTGAAAACTAGATACATAGATGACAGATAGGGATCACTTCCAAGAGAAGAAGGTTCTCTAATTATGTGAAAGAGGGCCAATGTGGTGTAGTGGTTTGAGAGTTAGACTATGACTCTGGAGACCAGGGTTCAAATCCCCACTTAGCCATGGAAACCCATTGGGTTACCTTGGGCAAGTCACACTTTCTCTGTCTCAGAAAAGGCAAAGGCAATCCCCTGTTTAACAAATCTTGTCAAGAAAACCCATGATAGGTTCACCTTAGGGTCACCATATGTCAGAAAGAATACCTCAAATGCAGTGACAAACAAAATAATGTCAAATACTCAGTGTTTCATTGACCTGACAATCTCTTCCTCTATGACAGTGTTGGTTGTGAACCTATTTCTGGTGCGCAAAAGAAACTCAAAAAGAAACTTCTTTTTGTAGAGTCAATCCATTTTGTTGTTATTGCTATCCAGACACACCCAAACCACACATCACACATAGTGGCAAGGTTTTCTTCAAGATAAAATGAGAGAGCCACAAAGAAACCTCAAAATTCAATGCATAAAGTTGGGGTGTCCAGCAACCCCATTAACTTTCCTAGGGATTTTGTATTCCTGTTATCGGGTTTGAGCAATTCTGGGGTATTAACTACCTCCAAAGAGACTGTAAGGCTCTATGGCTGGGTCAGTGGCCTTTCACCTTTCAAACTTGGGTTGCCATGGCAGCTAAAATCGGTCTCATTAACTGGATAAACGAGTGACCAATATAAGCTGTTGTTCTGCAGCTAATTAATTTCGTGAATGGTAGACACAACCCATTTTGCCTCTAAGATCCCCGTTTTTATTACGCAAGCACCAACGTGTGTGCAGTTTTATTTATGACCCAATTTTTCTTCATTTTATTTTTTGAAGAAATGAAAGACTTTGCATTACTCAGCACTATAGAAAGGAATGGCCTTCCACAAGGTGCACACTGCATGGTCTGTGCAGAGTCCTTGTGTGGTTCTTCTTTTCTAGGGAGTTTATCACACAGGAGGGATCCCGTGCAAAAACGGGATTTAAAACAGGAAAAACCCACAAAAGAAGATTGGTTTTCACACGATGTCAGGGTTAATGAGCATTAACACAACATTAACCTGAACAGAAAGACGACAAAACATGATTCTTTTTTCTTTTGGAAAATCCTGGTAGGTTTGGAAGGCATAATAATCGGAGTAATACCAATCATGATGATGATGATGATGGCGATCATCTTTCTTTGTCTGGAGAATTTCATTCCCTTGAGCAGAGAGCCAAAATGAAAGATTTATGGATGCCTGTTTCTCATTGGAAAGGAGGAAAGTGATCTGTTTGCAGGAGTTATATTTTCAGGCACTTTGCGGAGGCACCCCAACCCCCCTTGGCTCCTGACTGTAAAATAAGAAAACTATTACCCAGCTGGGGTAACAATAGGCTCCCACAGTGCTTTTCTGCTCAGACCGCAGCTGCCAGTGAAAGTGGAAACTACAGCAGCAGGATAACATTCTTTTCTTACAGCCTGTTTCTATGGACAAGGAGCCCTCCCACTGACTCAGTGTATTTTCTATGCAAAACTGCAGAAGAAGTGACATTTTAAAAGTTTTGACCTTTGGTGTGAGTGTGCGTGTGTGTGAGAGAAAGAGTGTGTGCCTGTGTGTGTGTGCCTGTGTGTGTGTTTAAAGAGGGGGTTTCACTTTTCTGCACCAACCAGTGTATACATTTTGAAACCTGACAGCATGTCTTGTTAAGAACTGCAATTGCCATGACGGCAATAATCAACTGTTTCAAAATTTGAAAATTCTATGTTGAGTGGAAAGGATAGATAACCTTCATCTGGGAAATGATGGTGGCCTGGAATGTGGCGCGGCTTCTGTGATTGTTGCAGGGGAAAAAAAACCCCAGAAAACTACAGGAACAGGCATCAGAGATTGTTGTGGCAGAAGGTGGGGGACCATTTGTTGTTGTTGTGTGCCTTCTATGGCAACCCTAAAGCAAACCTATCACTGGGTTTTCTTGGCACATTTGTTCGGTGTGTTTGTGTGTGTGTGTGTATGTGCCATTGCTTTGGTTCCTATATTTAAGTTGTTCATTTAGGGTCCCAAAGTTAAAAGGAAAATAAGAGAAGGTTTTATCTTTTTTTTAAAAAATAAATTCAAACGAAACTATCACATATTTAAGGTGCAAAATACCACCAGTTATAAGGGCAGAATAATTATACTTACAGAATGTTTAAGTCCCACATCAATTCTTGCTCTCCATGTGTGGGATCCACCTACCACTGTCCCCACTGTTCATT